AAAATTGAATTTCTCACGTTTAACACATTCTTCAATGTCGTAATTAAATATTTAACCTAAATGGACTTTTAAGACTTACCTAGATAAAGAAAATTGAAATATGCAAATTAAACTTACGGGAAAACATAAAATGGAAAGTAGAAAACATTTCCATCATACTTATCATTCAAGTTTCATGTATAGGTTAATCTCCAAACAGAATCGATAAAAGCTAAACAGTTTATCTTTAGTCTATGACTGAAATACCCAAAAGGCTTAATGATACTATTGAATTGGTCAAATTTTTAAGACAAGCATTCCTTAAAATGTCGTGAAACATGAAGTTATGAATACTATTTAGAGAGAAATCTGTATTAAAGAGAACAGAACCTAAATTTTTCACTCATCAGAGCGGGTATATTCATGTTTGAGTGTAACAAGACTATAACAATTTGGGTTTCGGAAAGTTAAAGCTATTTATCCAAGAACAGAACTTAGTATAATGAGTTATAAATATGAGTAGCGGAATATATTAGAATCAACAATACCTTGAATGGTGTGTTGATTAACAGTTATTGTTCAAGGATAAAAAAGAAACTGATGTCTAGATTAACGCTTTCATTTATTTGACGTGAGTATATAGACAATGTTTTCTCTAAATGATAAAAATGTAAATAAAACAATCAGTTGTTGGCATGATTACTGCTGGCAAAGGTTATGTATGCACATTGCTGATGATACTAAAATGACACAGCTATCTAGTACTTTCAGATTTCTGAAAGTTGTCTTGCGTAGATCGGTTCATGATAACAATGAAATCACCCATCAACTTACTTAGAAGCCTTCTATCCTTATTCACTGCTTAATCGATGTGATATCTACTAAAATAAACTTAAAACTAGCCCTCAAGTTTATATTCATATTATCTACCTATAAGTATCTAGAAGTATGTATATAATAATCAATATTTCTGAGAGAATACTAACCGTATCTTTATCGTCCAAGTAATTAAAATCTAACATTTTCGATTTGTCATAATTCATTCTGAATAGACACTAAGAATATCTCTGAATATTTTTATGAATCATGTTTCAATAATCTCAATAATTTACATTCACATTAGGATTAACTGACATCAATCAGCCTTTTTTATGATCTGACTCATTCTGAAACATTCTCAAACACAAACTTGCTAAAAATTTAGATTCACTTGTTGTTGTTGCTTGCCTGTATCTTCTCATTGGTGTTTTGGACTGTAATTGATCGGTCTCTTGTTGGTATATGGAATCCTGTGTGGATTACTTCGATACTGTCTTAAGTAACAAGCTTTATAAGAAAATATGGATAGTAGCTAGCAGTGGAATCCAGGAAGCGCGTTTCGTCCTATTCGGTACTCGTCAGCCGGATGTACCTGCAACTTAGAGTTTATGTTCACTCCAGAATCCAAACCCAGTACCGTTTACTTCAAACACCATCGCGTTATCCACTCAGCTACTAAGTGCTGATAGCCACTTGCTTGCATAAGCAGGTGGACGAAGCGCGCTCCCTAGATTCCACTGCCAGCTACTCTCTATCTTTGCTTATCCAAACTTCATCAATCTATATATTTTTGAAACAAAATATCTAGTAATTCTATGTATCAGTTCCTGAGTATATAGTCAAATCTATTCATTTTCTACCTAATTAGATACAAATTGTAAAAAAAGAAGGGGAAAACATATCCTCGTTAGTCTTTATCATAAAAAATAACTAACAAGAGAATTATTAGTGAAATATAGCTTCGATGTTACTAATAATCATTTTCAATTTCCCTAGAGAATCCAAATGAAATCATAAAAACATATATTTAAACAAACTACAAATATCTTTTTTCTATATTACTAATGAGTTGTTTGTCTACAAATCAATTGAGTGTTAGAAAATATTGTCGAGTAAAAAAAAAGATACAATATTCTAGAGATTACGAAGAAACAAATAGGGAATGCAACTGTAATCGAAATATTTAATATCTTGGGAATGATTTCTAAGAAGGAGTTTTGAAAGAATCTCAATCTGCTATCAATTGTCGTACAATTTTTCTTGTCTATACACGTGTATTTGTTTAGTCTATACTGAACTACTCTAATGCATTTTTAAGGAGTTTTATTTTTTTTTTAAATCACTTTGTTATTGAACTTGGGACCATTAATCCTTTTTTAACTTCACTTCTGGGATTACGTCCAGTCTTAAGCCATAATAAAGGGTGAGAGTTGGGTATGGTATTAGTAAACCCGCCTCGATAAGGAGAATCTGTCTTTAAATCGCTAAGTAGATTATAAATACTACACACTTGAATATATATATATATATATACCCACTCACATATCTATGAGTTAATGCGAGCCATAAAAAATGAAGGGAATTGTGGAGACATTCAAGACAAATATAGAAAAGAAAATAGTTTTAGTTAAGTTTTGGTTTGTTACTTGCATAATACTAGTATAGAGCTTATCAAAAATAAAATAGATGTATATTTAACTGGAATTATCTATCTGATGATGTTTGGATCAGTGTTAGTATGTTTGCATGCTGTGGGGACTGACTTGATTTACCCATTACTATATAAGTTTTTATAGAATAAATTTATTATGGCTTACAATGGATTTTCGCTTTCGGCTCCATTCGGTACTCGTTAGTTGGATACGCTTGCACCTCAGTGTTAATATTCACTCCGCGTATTGGATTTCACTGCCAGTCACTATCTAACTGTACTTAAAAATATTTGTGACTGATTACAACATCAAAGTAATACATATGAAATGAATATTTGACAAATAAAACTGGTCAAAATTAAGTTGAAGAATCAGCTACAAGATCTGAAACATTACAAATTTATTTAGAATATATACATATTGAACAAGAAAGTGGTTATTTGGAATGAGTAATGAACTAGATAGGGTGTAAGACAACTGAAGTGAGGGGTACTGGGTCTTGACTGAGGCGTGAACATCAAGTCTTGGATGCATCTGAAGAGTTGCAAATCAAACGAAACCAAAGTTCTGGATTCCATTCCCAGCTCCATTTTATCTATCATATTCGAATGTGTTTGAAGATATTTTACTCTGAAACTAATCAATGTATATACAAGTGCTAAGAGCCCTTGATAGTATGAAACAATGAGTATTGATGCTTTTATCATGTTAGAACTCTATTCATTGATATCCATAAATAGCTGACTCTTACATGATCACCTTGTATAGAAATTTGATTCAGTAAAAGTGTAGAACATGTCAGTGACTATTAAAATGACTTTGAATGTTTACAAGTTGTATCGTATTGTTAAATTATTTAATTAGTAAATCACAATCAATATGAAGTTAAATGAAGTGAGTATGAAATCTCAGAGTTATGACTACTACTTTTATTTTGATTCGTAAATAGGCTTATGAATGAAAACATTTCAAATCTTACTATGTGAGATTTGAGTGTTCTTTTTTCGTTGATTCCAGTTTTCTTCCATTACATACTTATGAATACATCACAAGACTGACAAAATAATGATACCAAGGAAAAAAAAATTAACCTAATAAACATATTTTTATGCTCGAATTAAAATGAGAGAATTTCATTTATAAAAGGGGTTTTGTGAAGATTTAGTATTTATTATAGTTGAAAGCGTGAGTCAGTTGAGGCTAGATCACCATGGAAAACTTGGCAACACTGGACGGCCGTTTCGTCCTATTATGGAAATCCTCGGCAGTGCGCATCCACGATCCCGCACTCGCGAGATTCGAAACCAGGACCTACCAGTCTCGAGCCGAAGCCCTTAACCGATAGACCACTGAGCTGGCATCAAACGGTGTTAATGTCTAACTTCAACTGATCCACGAAGTTGAGCAACCATTCACCAATTGTCTTCAGTGAGTTCCTATCTCGCAACAGACGTGGTTTTGAACTCCACTGGTCACTGCTTCTCACTAGAGCTCCTAGATATACTCTATTAGATATATACTCTATAATAAAATGGGAGGTCTTTAGATTACATAGTATTAACTACAGAAAACTAGATTAAGTGGAAGTAGGAAAACAAAAATGAATTAGGAAGGGAAAAGAAAGCATGTTATTATTCAATAATGGCACGAAATCAGATGCTACACAACTAAGTACTAACAACTGAGGTTATCAGAACAATATATACTTTAGTGAAAAATTCTTTATTGCCAAAAAAACTTATATAGAAAGAATAATAAACAATTACCATTGTGAAATAGAAATAACTGTTTCTGTTTTACTTTACAATAAATCAATATACGTTGAGGAGGTTGTTTGTGGAGATTTTCAGTAATTTTTATATATAGTTGAAATCATGAGTCCCAAAATAAGACGAAACGGTCGTCCAGTGCTTCCAGGTTTTCCATGGTGGTCTAGCTTCATTTGACTCATGCTTTCAACTATATATTAATATACGTGGAATTAAAATCTAATTGTTAGTATTTTCTCACCAAGTCAGTTAAATACTAAACACACTATACGATTATTATTTATTATGAAATTCTGACTTTTTAAAACAGTTTTACACAATTAAATGTCATTATGATCGGAATCAAGAGGATTGGGAATATATGTAACTCAAGATCAATGTGATGGAGTTGTCGTGATCTTTGAGATGAATGTATTGGTTGTGAATATTTAATTGTTAATATGTAAAACATTAGCACGTACTTCAAGGAGTACTCGTTGAAATGTAAAACAGTCAGTCAAATGTAACATAGGACCTGACACGGATGTGCATCGGTTCCAGTTGTTGCTTTTAGTCTTATCGTTTCTCCCAACCGATTTGCCTGATGAAGGATAACTTAAGGGAAGACGTAATCCATCTGATATAGTCCGATTAAGTTTTTGCGACAGGAAGGCCATACCAACACATCAGGGTAGAGGATAGGGTTAGGTGAAAAGTAAAGCTGATCAACAAAAATTGCTTTGTGGAGATAATTAAAAAAGATAACGTTTCTTGTTACCTATAAAAGTTGAAAAATACTTACCGACATCGGAGAAAAAGAACAAGTAGAAAAAATGTTGTCAGTATACAGCAACAAACCACAATTGCTACGAACGGGGCTAAAAGACAAATAAAAATAAAAGAAAAAAGCAATGTTAGGCTTTGATCTTGGTCATTGTTCAACTTTGAGGGATGATATTGTCTTGAAAACCATTATTTACTTACGACTGTTACCTCTCTTGGAGATTAGGCTCCCTACCAGAGATCACTAATAAATGCTGTCATGAGCTCACATTTCTAGTTATTACAAAGCGCTATTCATAGTCTCGATGTTTGCGTCCGATTCTCTGCTCCATATGATCTTTGATCTGCCTATTTTTTTTTCTTATGATCGTTAAGTATCTTGATGTGATTGAAGTTATACATGTACCACAGCAGTGATCTGGAGGTAAAGTTCGTGAGCGAGATCAGATATCCCGCATTTTGTTCCTTGTAGTGGATCCTCACTGCTGAGGAACCCCATGTCAGGATAGAATAGATGCTCAGTCCCTCCTAATTTTTCATGGTGGTTCAATCAAGATCAGTTCGTTATTTAAACTATGGAAGTATTAATTTGTATATTTTCTTTTTTGGCATTTTTCCATCTAATACGTTTCAGAACAGTAGTCTGTTTTTTTGTTAGTTATCCTTATGTTGTTAGGTATCTGCCAATTGGAACCAACCAATCAACAGAAAGATGCGTAGGCTTCGTGTCAACTTATCGTATTTTTTTTAAAATTAATCATCAATTTCTTTAATTTGCTTAGTTATTTTACTTTGCGTTAACTAAAATGTTAAATCTGTAGTTTACCGAATACATTCAGCTGTCTACTTTGTGTACAGTCTCTCGTGTTTACAGTTAATTGATGAAATTTAAAAAAAAGGGCTACAAATCAATATTTGTTAACTGACTAGTCATTTTTATTTACTGAACAGGAATTATAGGGATATAGTAATGTATTTATGTTTAGTTTATTTCTTTACATCACTTATATGTAACAATTATTTACAAATAAACAGTTTTACTATTGTCTAATTAATCTCTGGTTGAAAATGTTGCATTACATTTTAGATTGGTAAATACATCTAATTAACTGCCAAAACTTGATTACGTTTTAACTTTTACAAAAGATTTTGATTAGACAGTAAAGCGGAATAATAATAAGAAAGGATTAGTCTTATTTCCGATGTTGTAGTTTGACAGATTTCGAATTTTCTCGTATTTTCTCCCATTTTCGGAGCATGATTTACACAGAAAATATATTTAAAAAAAACTTTCACTGTTAGCCACTATCTACCTTTGCTTATAATGCTTGTAAATGAAGGCTATATTAAGGCAATAGTCACAGTATGCAGATATGCCAATTAGAGACTGACCAGTTACAGTCCTAACATATCAATGGGAAGATTCAAACAAATAATACTAAGTGAATTTAAAACCTCACGTTGTTTAAAAATGAGTCAATGAAATACATCGCTTTCATCTTTCTTAAAGACTCATTAAAATGGATATAATAAATTTGAATTGTAATGTTAAGCAAATATGTTTCGTTTCACTTGTAATGGTTTAAATCTTCCTTTCATTGACTGAAATTGATCGGTCTTTTATGGAATAACTCCATCCTGAGTGTATTGTCTCCATATTATTACTAAGTTGTATGCATATCAGTTAATAAACCTTTCATTATTTATATTTTTAATACTTGGTATATATTTTGATGTTATTCATATTCAGTGGATTTAACTAAATCTAAGAAATCTAAGTAGCCATCTTAACTGGAAATAACTAATCATTTGTGTTCTCCAGTTTCAGTATACTTAAATACATCATAATTAACCGTGTCATCTTTTCACTTATTTACAGATTAAAGAATCGATTGTCATAATAACAGCAAATGACAAGAATAGAATTAGGATCGATTTAACACAAAACATTAAGCCAGTAGTTTGCAATTAGAAACTAATTCTTCATATAGTATTCATAAAATTAATTGTGAATAACTTCATACTGAATAAGAATATAAATTTAAGTCATTGTGTTTAAGAACGACGTAAAACTACTAAAATTACATTCTTCTTCTAATTCATTAAACAATGGCTTTTGATTAAATTAGAAGATGACTTTCATAAACTTTCCACCACGAAATAATCAGTGAAATCGTTGGATTAAACACTTATCAAATCTAATTATTTCGTCAACTAGATAGGTATCAAGAATGATAAATGCTTAATCAACATATCATCTCAAGAATTAAATAAAGCTGAAAATATGAACTGTATAAGTTCTAACCCAGTGTTTGATCCAATCACTGATAAAATTATCACTGATGACTGGCTTCAAGAGATATTTACTGGAGTTCTAGTGAGAAGCAGTGACCAGTGGAGTTCAACAAGGTCTGTTGTGAGATTGTAACTCACTGAAGACTATAGTGGACGATTGCCCAATTTCGTGGATTGGTTGAATTTAGACATCAACATCGTTGGATACCCGCTCAGTTGTTTAGTGTTTAAGCGCTCGCGCACGAGACTGATAAGTCGTAGGTTCGTATCTCGCGAGGCGGGATCGTGGATGTGCACTTTTGAGGAGTTCTACAATAGGACGAAACGGCCGTCCAGTGTTTTCAGTTTTTCCATGGTGGTCTAGCTTCAATTGACTCATGCATTCAACTATAAAAACAAAGTTATGATTAAAAGTTAGTATAAAAATATTATTTTTTTCCTTTTCGGTTAGAAATATGAACCAATGATTTATTAAATGAAAATACTACAGTACAATTATTAATATATATAGTATGATTAATAAAGTTCATGTCTGTAATAAAAAACCCTATGCTTAATAATCTATCATTGAAAAATAGAACAGAATAATACCAATCTATGGATAATCAAAAAGCTTAATAGTAACACATAAAAAATGATGTATCTTTTGGAAGGAGATGGGGGAGAGAGACAGAGAGAGAGAGAGGGAGAGGTGAACAATTCAATGTTTCACAATATACTTTCATATAGAATAAAATAAAAAAAAGAAAACGATGAATGACTAATCAGAATTGTATAGTTCAATATGTTTCACTAATAATTTTTTAATAAAATCTGTTCTGCTAGTTTTTTTTTGTGTTGTATTAGGTAACTATGGAAAGTTTGATAAAATCAGTATTGACTTAGTCGATATAAACATTTGTGAAATATTTTGAAAAATAGAAAACTTAATAAAGCAAAAATAAAAATTACGATACTACTTAAAAAGGTTCATAAAAATGTATGTTGCAATAGAAGTAGTAGTAGTAGTAATAGTAGTGTATTTAGGAACTCATTTGAATCCTACTATTTCGATTGCATACGTTCTCGCCCAGTTGATATATATGATGTAATAAGACCGCCAGTTGTTATGTCGATTGAGTGCGCTTATTAGAGAATTGTGAATTTATTTATCTCTCAATGATATAGAAAACCATGTGAGCAGTCTTGAGTACTTATCAGTCCTATTATATGACTAGCCCAGCCAGTTAAGTTCAGAACACAAATAACAGCCTATGCAATATGATTCGTTATTCTCAAACATACTAGGTTTATATACCAAACAAACTGACTACATCGTACCATAAAATAGAAAATAACATTTAAACAAGATTTAGCCAAATGTGGCTGTGAATAGGGGGAACACTAATTAATGGACTAAGGATAACTTGAGAATGGTAAATCGTATAGTAATAGTCTATGGGTCAAAATAAAGCTTATAATAAAAGGAACACGAATATGAATAGTTTGGTTACTTGACAATTATGCAGTGCAAAATATACATATCACATTTGTCCATAAATAGTCCTCAAAGTTACCATTCATAATTCTCCACGGGATATATAAGATCCTCTTTAGAGATTCACGCTTTGTAAAGAATACTATCCAAGTTCTAACTAGTTTGTTAAATTCTGTAGAGTGATTGAGATACTAATAAATAATCAATCAAAGTTTCTGAGATGATTCTTGAATGTCATCGGAATTATCTCGACAGTGTTGCATTTAGCGATACTATTCTGGTGTGGACTACTTATATCCACACAAATAGTATATAACGATAGTCGGGCATTAAATGTATTTCAGTAGAAGATCAATAAGGAAAGAACGGAAACGAAACGTAATTGGTATGAAAATGCATGAACAATAATAAACGAAGACCATGGACTGATATTTGAAAAAGTAATGGTCAAGATTGAGAAAATTGATCGATAGTTTGCATATTAACTTTTTACCATATGGTTGTCAGATTTTAGTGAGATATTCTGTAATTTTCGTGCTATATACATTCGATTGTTTCCACCCTTGTTCTGTTGTTTACACTACTACTACTACTACTAATAATAATAATAATAGCAGTTATACTAATGAACGTAGTAATAATAATAATCGCTTTACTAAATACTATTTATGTACAATTAAATAAACTAGGAAAACTTTACATCAGAGATTAACATTTATGTATGTTCTTTTAATAAACCAGTGTCTCATTTTGTGAAGTGATATACACGACAAAAGATATGAACTTGTTTAGTATTTAATAGGGTAACACGTTAAACATGTTCCCAAACATTTAGAACGTCTATCAACAACCATATTCATGATAATGTCTAAAGTATAACAATTTATCCCTTATGTTAACCTTCATTGTGATACACAGAACAAAGTAATAATTTCTTATAACTCTAACTAAAATGGTTAATTAGTCACGTAATCATTATTCACCGATCTGTTATCAGTGATTGCTTCAATACACTAACCAAACCCATCACTAGAGGCCTTCTATTTCGATGACTTCAAATAGGATTTCTGAAGAATAGTTTTATTAGTCTTCTAATGCTTTTTATTTTATGATAAACTTACGTGACTGATCACTGACTTATTTTTTTATCAACTTAATGATTTCTAAGTAGTCTTGTTTATTTCTCATGGGATCAGAATGTACGTAATCAATCTTATGTTAATTAATAACTCACTAATAAACATACGAATTTGGTTTATTAGTTTGTACTCAAATAAAATAACTTCGTTTTCCTAATCTGTCAAATAATGCGTAATTTTGTCT